TTATTGTCTTAATTATGACGTGATAGCTGAGCTAAAAATATTATCAACGATTTAAAGTAAAAAAAGTATTGCTAAGCAATTAACTTTTTGTACTAATCTGTATTAGTCTTAAAATTAATTCTTTGATCTCATAAAGTACAGAATTTTGAAGACAAAAGAAATCAGAGGTGTAGCAACAGCACAACACGATCCTCCATCACCTTCACAGTATGCAGTATAAACTTTATTATTTCAATCAAATTAAACACGGAACAAATATCCAAATAGCGTTTCGTCGAAGTCACAATCACTCAGCAAAGTTCCGCCTCCATGAATAATCACGCAAAATCCATCGACAACTTGCCTTTCAGCCGGATTGACAATAATTCAAACTCCACAACGGCATTCTGGTCAAAGAGGCGAACGCCTTCTGTTCGCAAGATGGTAAATAATTAATTTGACTAATGGCTCGGTTTGTTAGCAACGTCCCCGTATTCGTCGCAATGGTACGGTCCGTGGGAGTTGATAGTGACTCTTTGAGACGGAGAAATTCACGATCAAAGCGCAAACGGTTGTGTTACCTCGTGATAATGTTTCCTTCTAATTGCATTGTCCATGCTACTGACTTTTGTATCAAATCTTCAAAGGAACGTTATATATTGGACTAGTATTTATTGAAATGAACTCTTTGATTAGGCACGGAGAGCAATTTCTCCGGAATTTCTTAGTGACAAATATTTGACGGAAGTTAACATATCCTTATATATAAGACTCTCTTATAAACAAAGTCTTTAAAGTTGAAATTAAGACCATATTGGGAAAAAAATAGGGGATAGAGTAAGAATGCCTTTGAAAAAAACACTTGCTGAAAAGATATAAAGCATTTGTTGTGTTTGAAAAATGAGTAATTTTACAAAATAATTCGGAAACTAGAGAAAGTGATTTAACGGTTATAGGATAGAGCTGCAATGAAAAGGCATCCGCGATTGGCAAATGCGATCGATTGAATAATGTAACTGCTATTGCGTTGTTTATCTCGAAGGCTGCCATTAAATTACAATAACGCGATTCGACGTCGATTTGTATTTAAAAGACATCGAAATGCGCCTCGCGCCTCGTTTGAGTGTATCGTAAAGTACTGGAATTCGGCTTAAAGCCGCTCCAATAAATCGCCACGACATCTCTCGACTCGTCGACGCACAAACGGCCCGTTTTGAATTTAGTAAGCATTCGCAATCGTGATCCGAAGCACTTAGACACGGTTCGGCGAACGTCGCTCACACGGACTTTGCGTTTAGCGAACCGCGTCGCCAGCAAAATCATTCAAGCTTAATAAGTGCTTTTGTTTGCATCGTTCAGTACTTGTTTTATTTTTGCGTTTGCGTTTTTGTTTGAAGTGAATACCGTCGCCCTTGGACATCTGCTTGTCCCAAGGGTTGCAGATGCGTTGACGACCTTTTGAAATTTGGGCTCCGGCTACCTCACTCACCAGACGAAACGCGAAGGTATTTCACGTCGGTCTTCTGTGGGTATTCCAAAAGGTGAAAAATATATTTTTAATACTTATACAATACTCAGATTCGTTCATATAAGGACAACACCTTGAAGTCATTAAGTATAGTTTTATTATTTAACACGGATTTGAATTTTGACTGCCGGGAATGTGAAACTATATTAATTTCTATTTTGTCAATAAAGATAAATGGGCTCCCCTTGAGATTTTGATCCCTTAAGAGCAATACAACAGTAAATAAGAATATAACATTTAGGAACTAATTTCTATGACAAATTTTAAGTTTTTAATTATGTTAAAATTTTATTACTATCTGACCGCGCGGACCGTGTGTCCCCAACGTCTTGTGCTTCCGACTTAGGCTTCTTGTGTCGACAATAAACCTTGATATACAGAGGGACGGGTCCCAGCCATTTACATACGTATTGCCCTTTAAGACGTTTTCAATGTTTGACAGTTCCAAATAGTTGTTCCCATTGTTCTAATACGAGGGTACTGTTGTGATGAATAGGATATCTCGCTAATCTTGAGGCTGGAAGTGCCTCCGTTTACTCAGTTGTCAGTTGTTTTAAAGCACTTCGGTAATAATTTATTGAGCTTGTTAAGTTCATATGCCATACCTTTGTCGGTCAATCTAAATGTGACTTCAAGCTGTTTAGTTTAGGATTTCCTTAATTTGAGAAGAGGTTGGGAGAACTTAATGTCTCTTTCATCTGTTTACGCGTATTATAAAGCGGCATGTCTCACATAGTAATGTTTTATTCACTTTTTTTAGAATTTAGTTTATGACTTATTTTTAAAAGTACATATTAAAAGAGCATAATAAGAGTTGTAAAAATTAAAAGGTTATGACTTAATAAAATTGTTATTTGGTATTTTCACGTTTATTAATATGAAATAATTCACTTAACCACATTTCATAGAATTAAAATTCTTGACATTTTGTATAATTTGCACCATTATATATCAGTAAAAATAGGATAGACAAGCGTAGAAATTTGTGAATAGTTCTATTTACTAACGCAGTTTGCAGTTCGGATAGATAAAAAATACTTTATTTTTCATAAATTTCTATCAAATTGGAAAAGTAAAAAAAGTTTTTGTTACGTAAGATTCTGTCCTCTAGAAAATAAGTCTGCTTTATAGTGTTCTGTTCACCAGTAAATTACATATGAACATATATTGTCACAACTTAATGAATAAGTTAAACCTATTTGTCTGTCAGTGTCTCTTGCGTACTTCGGTAAGTCTCAAGAAATAAAAACATAAACAGAATAAATACACACAGAACAAATTGTACAATTTCCTTGCAATCAAAAATTTGTAACGTCAATTGGATTTTCATTTTCATCCCAAAACTGTCATCAATCGAATTCATCATCGGGTGATCGTTCATCCCGTTGCGTCTTTAGAATGGTCTTTCGGACACGTGCCGGTGATCAATCAAACGGTTCTCTTTGATATTGTTGATTCCACATTAAATTTGTGCGAATATCTGTATCAGATAGTAGCAGGCAAGTTTTCATTCATTCACTCGTATGTGGATAAGTTTATCTAATATATAAAATTCTTGTGTCACAGTTTTAGGGTTTTGACTTCTCCGAAACGGCTTGACCGATTTGAATGAAATTTTATGTATATTCAGTAGGTATGAGAATAGGTTTATAACTATTTTTTTCTACATTGCAAATAATTTATATGGCAAAACAAAGCCGGCTGGTTCAGCTAGTATAGATTTAAAGCCCTGGCTGCAGAAATCTCACTTACTTGGATTTTTTTTTACTTATCTGATTATCTTATGCCAAAAGCATATTGCATTTGTGCCTTGAGTGGCATTGACTATGTTAGGGATGAAATAATCGTTCACGTCATCAATTTAAGTTTAAATACAATTAAATTAATAACGTGGAAGACATTTTTTGAGGTGGCAAGCGAGCTGGCGGCTCACCTGATGTTAAGTGATAACCGCCGCCTATTGATATTTGCAACACTAAGTGGGGTTGCCAATGCGTTGCCACCTTTTGATAAAGTAGGCCCCTACTCCTTCACTAACCAGAAGAAATGCAGGATATAACACTTCCACTTCGCGCCAATCTTTTGTGAGGTGGTCATACTTACCTGGACAGACCTGCCGATTCGTGCAACAGCGAATAGTGTTGCGTGGCCCCACCACAGTTAATAATTTATTTCAAGTTATTTCCTAGTAACAATAGCATTGCCAACATTTATAATGTCAATGAATAAGAAGATATCTCGGTGGTAGGGCCACGCAACAGCCTCGGCTGTTACACGAATGGGCAGGCTCGTCTGGGTAAGTACCACGACCTCACAGAAGACCGGCGTAAAGTGGAAGTATAATACTTTCGCGTTTCGTCTGGTGAGTGAGGTGGCCGATACCCAATATTCACAAAGGTTGTCAACACATCTACAAGCCTTCGGGTGTAGCAGATGTCTTTGGGCGGCGGAATTCACTTAACATCAGGTGAACCGTCTGCTCGCTTGGCAACTTTTCACATAAAAAATAATATTAAAACTTAAGCGTCCAGTTTGTTTACAAGACAGTCGCCGTCTAAGTTACTACGAAAGTCTCATTTTGAAACGCAATCAAAGTCAAAGCTGTGGTAATTTGGACTCTTTCTATATGTAATAAGGCATTGAATTAGTTAAAATAAACTTGTTAATTTTCAAAAGGATTGCGATACAAATGTTGTCACAATAAAATATACTGGAAGAGATTGTTTTATTCGGCACAGCGTGTAGCATCCGATATGGTCTAGTGGCTAGGATACCTGGCTCTCACCCAGGAGGCTCGGGTTCGATTCCCGGTATCGGAAAACTTATATAAATGTACTGCTGCTATTGATAAATCTTAAAATCGTTATTTTTTACTTATTTTAATTTTCCTTTAACATTTTGTTATATCCGTAACTTTATATTTTATTAACTATATTTTAAAAACACCTTTCAAATAACATAACAAGTTCATTCTCCTTTTTGAAACTTATTTTAAATATTTTATATCGCATATAATTATTTTTATACTATTTTATATAAGGCTCTAGAATCGAGCATAGGAAGAACCTTCATCATTAAAAACCGAGGCGAAAACAATTGCTTATATTGAATAACTTGTATTACATATATATAATAGCTGTAATTATATTGAGTTCTATATTATTTACATTTCATTAAGATGTTTATGAAGAATTGTTAACAAAATATTCTTAATAATATTACAACTGAACAGTCTGTACATATCTGCCGGACCAACTGGTAGTAACTGAATAACCCAACCATTAAAATCGCGGTCCACATAGCCGCTATCGACTGCTGACCCTGAAAAATCACGCACATACCTCAACTCTACATGTAGAGTATTGACAAGCCAGGGTTGCGGACATGGAGTCAAAGAAAGGCTACTCACGGTAGCAAGCAACTATACATCCTATAATTTTTACATAGTCCTTGCGATTAAAAGTGTAAACAGTATCCAAATCAAAAGACGCTAGAGAGCGACCATTCCGTATTTCGCTTCCAGAATCGCTACTTCCGTGCGGAGCCGCGGATTTTCCCGTCGCAAAGCCGACACGCGGATCAAGCGGGCTTTGTACGGACGGCGACGCGGGGCGTTCACACTAATTGCGATACGATACGGCGCGATCCGTCGAACTTGTATTTGCATTTCGAGATAAGTCGTTTGGGCCGCTACGCCGCGTAGCGCGGAATTAGCGCCGGCGTAGCTACGGGAATTGATGACGCGCAATTAGTTGTCCACATTGGGAGACAACACGTTTTATAACACATACTTCCGAGTTCAATGCATCACGGTTAGAATAACGGATGAACAGCGATTATGTTGATAATTATCAAGTATGCATAACTATAACTGCAGTAACACCTATTCCGTTTATTTTGAAAAAAGTAACAGACTACACATGTCCCACGGCGGGGCAAAGACCTCCTCTGTATAGAGGAGGTCTTTGCCCAGCCGTGGGATCACCTCGGTATCAGGGCACAGTTCAGTACGCGGCCCCAATGCGGATTAGCGGACTTTACATATCTACGAAAAATTTTTTTTTGTTATTATTTCCAAAGTATGCAAGTTTTCTTAAGATGTTTTCCTTCACCGCTGGGTACATGATAAATCACACCGGGGATCGAACTCAGGTTGCTCGAGTATATTAAATAAAAGGCGAGCACAATTTAAATGGTTTGAAACTTATTTTAACGGTGAGAATCGGAGTATAAAACGCCAATGCTTACACCGTTAGCGTTAAGGGATTAGCCATCGTGCTTTTGTTTTTCCAGTGAACCGCGTACCGCCGAAATTTCATTAGCCCGTTTCGCCTCGAACCCTCTCGCCTCCTCAACTATTTGTCCGATCCCGAATAACATCGGATCGTTGGAAAAACACCCGATCCCCGCGTCACGTACGGACTTATCGCGCCCCGGGGCGAATTAGTTGCGACTTTGATCGATGACCGGCACTGACCGCCCGCTCTAATAGAGCGAGACTCGGACTTTGTATCCGGCGACGATTCTCGCTTGTTTCCCTCTTAATTGATTGTAGAGTACGTATATTCACAGATAATTAAAGAAATACAAATATAAATTTACTGTAAAGCAACAGTCTATACACGTGTATGGGACGTCCCATTGCTGAACAAAAGACTTCGGATTGGCGGTGATAAACGAAAAGAACAACTTATTATTGTTTCGAAATATTTAGTTTCGTCTCGATGTTTCCCTGCTCCACTGCACGTTATTAGACGGCACTTAAAATTGCAAGTAACGATTTCAATGGTGCCGACACCGTGATTTGAAATCAGGTTAAAACCGAGTGTCCAGACACTAAGATATCATGGTTCTTACCGTAATGCGTATTAAATCTAGTGTAGTGCATTCTTTAGGAGGGAAGATGGAACTAACAGGTATTTTAATAATTCTGATTCTGATGTTCCAAATGTCCACCGGCGGCTCCCGAATGTTGGCGGCCCCAACGACTCCTGCCGTCGCCTATACGCCGGAGTCGTGCGGTCCATGGCCCTGTACGGAGCTCCCGTTTGGGCTGACACCCTGAAGCGCCGGACCCAAGCGCTTTTGCGCAAACCACAGAGGGTGTTGGCTATTCGGGCCATACGGGGCTACCGGACAATCTCCGGTGAGGCGGCTTGCCTGTTGGCCGGCTTTCTGCCCTGGGATCTGGAAGCTAAGATCTTCGCGTCATTGTACTCCTGGCGCGAGGTTGCAAAAGCCCTGGGCCATATGCCGGCCCCGGAGGAGTTGGGGGAGCGCAGGGATCACCTGCGCTCAAACGCCATCGGGGAGTGGGCGCAAAGACTGGAGCACCCCAGTGCCGGCCTAAGAACCGTAGAGGCCATACGTCCTGTCCTCAGGAAGTGGCTGGACAGGCGACACGGCACCCTGACCTACCGCGCGACGCAGATCCTCTCGGGACATGGTTATTTCGGGAGGTACCTGTTTCGCGTGGCGAGGAGGGAGCCCACAGTGGAATGCCACCACTGCGACGTATGTGCCGAGGAGACGGCCCAACACGTACTGGAGGAGTGCTCAGCCTGGACGGAGCAGCGCCGAGAGCTATGCGCTATCGTGGGGCACGACCTTTCGCTGCTAGCCGTGGTTCGCGCTATGGTTGACAGCGAGAGAGCGTGGGGTGCTGTCCTCGCATATTGCGAGGACGTTATCACCCTGGAAATCCGCCGTCGGAGACCAGGGCGCAGGAGGCTGGCCTACGCGCGCAACCTTCCCCCCTGATAGCGAGACCCGGAGCGGCAGACATGGGGGTGTCTGTCGCTCAATGTGGGGCTCAAGACGTGTGCTGTGCCAATTGCACCGGCACAGCACGATGCAGTAGAGGAGGCCTAAACAGGGCCATAGTCGCGCCGGGGTTGCGGAAGATTGCGTCCATGTGTTCCCGTGTCCCCAGCCGATGCGATAGAGACAGGTGCAACGTGGGTTTTTTAGTGGGTACCCGTTTCTCATCGGGACTCCCACATACCCCTGCCACTCCCCCGATTCAGTAGTAGGGGATCCATAAAGGATTTTTCCCACGAAAAAAAAAATGTCCACCGGCGGTGCGATGCGAAGACGTTATAAACGCTCTTTGGCCTTGTGTAAGGCAAAATAAAAATTTTACTTTGCAACGAGTTACTTCTCTTTTTTTTAATGTGAGAAAGTGGCAAACGAGCTGACGGTTCACCTGATGTTAAGTGATAACCGCCGCCCATGGACATTCGCAACACCCGTAGTGTTGCAAATACCATCTTTAAATAAAGTGGGCCCCGGCTACCTCACTCACCAGACGAAACGCAGAAGAATAGCACTTCTACTTTACGCCGGTCTTCTGTGAGGTCGCGGTACTTACCCGGACGGACCTGCCCATTCGTGCAACAGTGTGGCCCTACCACCGTTAAAATATAAACGCATCTGAAATCCTAAGGGTGTTGCTAATATCCATGCGCGGCGGATATCACTTAACATCAGATGATCGCCAGCTCACTTGTCACCTCACATAAAAAAATACGATGAGCAAAAAAATTTTACAAGTTTTATATTATTTGTATCTTATCGAGCAAGAAGAGAAGTTTTTTTAACATCCACAATCATCATCAGGTATGTAACTTCTCAAAGGAGGAGATTTTTTTCGATTTGCCATATACCTAAGCTTTAAAAATTAATCTAAATTAATATTTAAGACATTATTCGCATTTTCTCTCTAATTAAGAATAATAACCAACCTACGTAATGGAGAAATTTTAAAGCATAACGGATATAAAAGGCGCCATCGATTGACAAAAAGCTGTATAAATTTCATGATAATTATGTCAGTGTCGAGGACACGTACTGTCACATATTGATTTATAGTTTTGAAATAAGAAAAAAAATGACCTCTGACAAATCCATCATCCATCAAATATGGATAACGTATGTTTTATACTTAAAATGTTTTAAAATATACACCTTTTAAATTTAATGTAGCCGAACATATCGGGTTAAACAATGCTAATGACTTTTTGTTACCAAACTGATGTTTTTCATAGTGATTCGAAATGAAGTAACATATTTGATTTTTTTTTCTAATATTTACCAAGATAATATTTATATTTTATCTATCGATGGCTGATTGATACTTAAATAGAAATAATAATTATCTCATTACCGTCCTCTTCATAAATGTACCGTAATGCAATCCGGCTATAATTAATGGATATATTTAACTGCTTCTCTTATCCCTCCAAATACTAAAGCTACATTAATAACTCCTCGGTAATCTAAATTAAATGGTCCAAGCGTCGATGCTTAAATATTGTGACAAAACATCCATCTTAGGGATGCATTTTAAATTATCAACACGTGTACTAGCATATTTCCCAAGTTTGAAAAAATAAATTTACGGCCGTGTCCCTTCGATTGTGACGTCATGCGAGATCAATTGAGTGTTATAAAAACCATTAAACACGTCTAAACTCCGCCGTTGACTTACAACTCTCACGCCCCACAGTTAACATTTTAATATTGTTTAAATCTACGCCAAGTTTCGTCGAATCGAATCTATTTTGAAGTACTTTAGGACGTTAATCGAACAAATACTAAGGGAGTTTTTTTTCTAATGCAGTGATTTCGACACGCGTGCGTCACGCATGAGTGGATTTGAGTCGTTTGTCAGTTTTAAAGTTGTTTCGCATATGATTACTTGTCAGCAGCTATCGTGAGAAAATTCTGTAACGGTTAATATTTGTACTTTCGTATTGTACTTTCGTAGCATTGGTGCTGAATTATGCAATTCTATCACTGTCGAAAAAAGTATTCCAAATGTTTAAATAATCAGTTTTAATTAAAACACCAAATATATACACATCAATACAATTATTACATCAATATACCTAATTTCAATAAATACATTAATATGATAATAGCTCATTAGGATCTTGCATTGTTCCAGTTTTAGCCGTATGTTTCCACAATCTCTACAAACGGTGCCGCATGAAAATATCTATATTATGTTAATTAAGTATTAGTGGTTATGTTACATAATAATAAATATTATCAATTGTATTTACACCGAATTTCGTAATTAGATAACATAGCCTCACACGTTACAGCGTTCTTTCATAAAGTACGGTCAGCATCACAAAGCGAGAGCAATTCAAGCTCAATCGAGCTAACTGACAAATGTGTATTGTCTAGAAACGGAATCTTCAATAGGCTTACATCAAAGGAGCCTGCCGATTCATACTGTCCATACCGACGGTCCTCTAATTGGATTACCCAAGTGCAATATTAGTTTGATATCGTAGCGACAGTCGGTGTCGTTCAGTGACCCTTAGGCCGCACTATCGATGGGGGACCTGCATGGCCCCAGGCATGTGGGTCGTGTGCTAATGATGGAGCTTCTATGTATTATTACCATATAATATATGCTATTATTACATGCTAGTTGTATCATGAATATTGTAAGTTTTGAAATACTAACATTCTATGACTTAGCTATTGCGGTTTTGTGGTTCTTCTCGTCATAAATTTTTAAATTGGTTTAAAGGTCTCAAGTTGGTCAAAAGTAAGTGTTACCAAAGTTTCCTTCTCGATAAATCTTTGCCTTTCCATAAGCTCTGTGCTGGAAGAAGTCTTACAAGTTCTACGAAATGGAAACGCAAAAATCAATGTTTCAAAAGATTGAGTTTTGCGTTCGTTATATTGATTTATTCGATTTCAAATTAATATTCTAGGAGTAACAAACTCATATCCGGGTCAATACATACAACGTAGATGATTTTATAATTCTTGTAAAATTTAAAGCCCAATTAGTTAATGATTGATTAAAAATCATTTCTTGTATTTACGCGATTACACATTATAATGAAACTTATTTTACGGATTTATCGCGTGTATTTTTAATTTTGATTCGTCTAACGCCTCAGTCTGTCCCTCAGTCTAACGCCTCAGTCTGTCCCGTAAGCATCAACGCTGTAAAGCGTTCGAAACGTCGGGAATCAAAATTAAAAATAAACGCGATAAATCCGTAAAATTAGTTTCATTATAAAAATCAGTTGGTGAAAATAGGACTCAACTTTTTGACTGTAACAATGTTTGCATGGCATGCAAATCGTAAAAAAATTGTAGGAATATATACACATATATGATCTTCAAGGTCATGGTATATGAGAGTCTTACATCTTACGTGAAGAACATGAGCAGATGCTTCAACTGATGTCAGATTATACATTCCATTCCCATTACGTATGAAAAATTTGGATTATTACGAACTTTTCATTTATGTCAACAAATGTTCCCCTTAGCATTAACTTATTAGCATTTTCAACTTGGAATGTTGGGCTGTTCTGTGAAAATATTTGAAACGGGCGAACTTCGGCAAATGAGCGATTGCCCTCCGTGGACGAGAAATAATGGATTGCACCGCAACGGCAACATACAGCGCATTGGATCTACGGCGTAGCGGCCCGAGATTTGCATACATCTGGGAGATTAATGACCGTCCGTCAGACCGTCCGGTCGCTCGACGTGTGACGGTCGTTAATGGACACAGTTTTTGAATGTTCCGCGTTTCCATTCGTCTTGACCTTTTTAGACGCTCCGTGTTTATGTAAGTGGAAGAAGAAGTATGTAAGTAAGAGAGGGACGGTGCAGTCTGTAAGTAATTTATAGCCCTTTTTTATTTTGTTTTTATCCGAGATGGGCCGCGATCGCGAACTCCTTCCACTCGATCTGATGAAGGACAGCCGATAGGTCCGAAACTGCCGCCTAGTTTCGGACCTATTAAACGTGAGTTCGACCGTTATTCTTTATTTCGTTAATAATGTCTCACGAACATTTTAAGAATATTATATTGTATTTTTTTTATTCCTCAGCAAATGTCTAATTGAATTCATAAATAAATTGTATTGCTGTTCAGACTGATTTTTCATTTATTTTACAATATACGTTTTAACGCTTTTCGGTATCAGTTGATTAATATTGATGGTTAATATTTTATTTCTAGCTGTGAGCTCTCTCGTCGTAAATACATGAATTTTAAATTGTTCAGATGTCCCATTTCTAAAGGAGAAACATACAAATCGAAACGGGGCTTTACGAATTATTAGAGAACAAACAGTCAGACAGCATATTCTTCTTATACGTGTTTCAAAACGTATGTCTCGCTAAGATTGAAGTCTTACACGGACAGCGTTTCATCTTTCAAAAATCGAATGAAAGGAAACGACGTTTCCTCACCGCGGAATTGCACCAACGCCATTATTTCAACGTAAATCTCCCGCATATAAAACTCTTCGACCAATGTCCGATTTCCAATTCAACAAAACGCTTGTCCCTCTGATAGATGCCCCCGTACGTCGAAATCTGTAGAAATCCATTCGGACATAGCGCCAGACAGATTTTCGACGTTCCGTTCCAGCAATTAGGACTCAAAATCGCGCGGTGCGCCCGCGTCGACATCGGTTCGGAAATGGCGGCGGAGAGAAATCAGATTGCAGCGTTAAAAAACGCTCGCAATTACCGCTCGCCTTATCTGGATTCCCGAACTGTCTGCTCCGCGATCCCGTAAAAAGCGGACGTCAGTCAAGGTAAGCCGCGCCAATTAAATTGTAACAGGACGCCGCCAAGGCTCATTATGTTAGCAAAAGTATACACAGGAAAACGGGGCCGCGTGAATCTAACATTGGACGGAGGTCCGGTAATTAGATGCCAATTATTTTATTGTTTACGTTGTGACTGAGATTTACAATTTCGTGACAAAAAAAAAATTACTTTGACAAAGAAATACTTTTACATTAGACTAAAATGCTATGTTAATAATTTAAGGTGCCAATAGTTTTCAATTATATGTTGTTACACATATAAACAAATATAAAATGGAATGCAGGGAGGGAACTAAACCGTGTCCCAAGCGCAAATAGTTACACAAATATTGCTTCTGAGTGAAATTTGAAGCAAGATGTAAAGAATTACACATGATGATAGACTAGATTGTTCTCAAATAACCGACTTGTTAACACATCTAGTTCGACCTGACGGAAGACCGGCGTGAAGTACAATTGGTACACTTCTGCGTTTACTCTGGTTTGTGAGGTAACCGGGGTCCACTTTATTAAAGGTGGCAACGCATCTGCAACCCTACGAGTGTTGCAAATATCAATGGGTCGGTGGTTACCACTTAACATCAGCTGAACCGTTAGCTCAATTGCCACCTTTTCACGTAAAAGTACATTTAGCCAAGTAACACTCTTCGAAAAAACGATGCAGCCTATAACTGATATGTTTATTTACTTATTTTAGAATTCACTTTTTTAACATTTTCTTACTTGCGAAGGTAGGTAATTGAGCTGGTGGTTCGGCTGATGCTAACAGCCACCCATGGATATTTGCCATATGCGGAGTTGACTGGCAGATGCGTTGCCACCTTTTAAGAAGAGGGTTCCGTAACCTCACTTAAAAGAAGAAAAGCAGAATTATAACACTCTCTCTTCCCACTGGTCTTCTGTGAAGTCATGGTAAAAAGTATGGCCCAACCACAGTAAAACTATAGAACTCGTGAGTGATCCATACTAGGAGATATAACTAGTAGCAGTGAAATATAATTAAATTAATCTGCAATTAATACGCGATGTCAGTGGTGTGTGCAGTATGCACAATCGGAAGCCGTGTATATGTCCACCCGCTACATAATTCACGCCGCATAAATTATCTATGTTCGCACTTTGAGAGCAATTACCAGGTTTCCATTACATAACTCATCGATGACTACTCACTCAAGATGGGGTAAGTTAGTATGGATACGTATTTAATGCCGGGGAATTCGCTTTAATTACTTCTTGTTATTGTTCGAATAGGATCAAAGATATCCGCGCTTTGGAATTATACAGATTGCTAAGATTCAATCATCAGATCTAGAAAAATTTTCTGTAGGTCATGTAAGTACTTACTCCATCTAGGAACTAAGCCGTTAATGGCTTAGCTATCTTTTAGAATCTAGATTTCGAAAACATGGTTTAATTAACAAGAACTATTAGGTAATTATAGAAAAGGATTCTTTAATCAAAGTAAACAACCAAGCGAGAATTATCTACTTTTACGAAACACTTCCCATTACATGTCGAAAATTTTTATCATGTGATACAAAAATTTGTTTACAAGGGTAAGGCTCAAAAAGGGGAAAATCCCTTATAAAAGAATACTTTTGCTTATTCTATCCATACGTTTGGAAATAGTAAAACGATACTTAAGCGGGTCCGGTCTAACGCAGAGTAACTGCAGAATTAACAAGTCCATTTTTTCATCAAAGAGAAACCATTTCATTAACCAAAACCGACTTCAAATATCTCGCTCTGTATTCATATCATTAATAAGTATCTCCGGAACCCAAGATACAATACAATGAAATTAATATGGGAAGCACCAGCTTTCAAATAAAAAAAGAATCATCAAAATCTGTTCACCCAGTAGAAAGTTCTGAGGTAACAAACATAAAAAATACGGTCGAATTGAGAACCTCCCTTTTCGAAGTCGGTTGGAAATACTGATTAAGTCGAAAGTGCAATCATCTTAAAAGGCATAACTATCGAGAGAAGTCTGACTCTATACTATATAACCCCGTAATCCCTTGTCCACTCCTCTAATAGCGGTTTACTGAATAATAATCAAACTCACATAAAATTTCAATAATGGCCGCGGTAACTGCTTCCAGATGCAAATGTAGCTCGGATTCGTAGTGTACGCAACTCGGATTAGAGACTTCACCTCTACTAAGTTTTAATTGTTTCGATTCATTCATTCGTTATGACCGTACATTTGCAATTCAGAACGGTCTTTTCATTTTAAAAAACTGAATCAAAATCTTGTAAATAGAATCGTAGCAGATTGAGGACTTCTTATATTTCAAAACAACCTTTAATTTTTTGTAAGGGTAGATGGAACAATCATTAATGGATAAACATTTAAAGGAATAGGAAGGATAATGAAATTGAAGAAAAATAGAAAGATTTTAAAAGCGCCATCAAGAACTTCATTGTCGTTGAGACAGGATATTAAAGGAATAGAATTGCATTAGAAGCTGCAACGCCTTTTGTGCACTTTATAACAGCACGATGCAGACAACGTCCCGCAATAACGAACGTGCAAGCCAAGTTGATTAGCTCGCGAGCTATTAAAATATGGACGCACAAAGACGTCTAAAATATAACGCCGCGACGCAATCAGGACTTTAATCAAATCACGTCCGAGCGGACAAAGGCGGAATTCCACGGCCGCCCGCGTCAAACAGACCCGGTAATCCTTTCCATATCATACGTATATTAAAGCTGGTCCGGTCGTCCGTCTGCGCGAAACAAAGACGGCCTTTAGCCTTTCAGTGTTTCAGTGAGCATTGTGCATTTAGCCAGCGGCTACAATTATCTGGCCAGGCAATCGGGAGCCCTGGTGTTCCGTTTATTGCCGGCGATAAACTCTGGCCCGCTTAGCGCCGACTAGGGCCAGTCCACGCTGGTTATGAACCTGCTGAGCCTGATGTAAGGGGAATGAACCTGTATATTATAGGGGAATTGGAACAGAATGCGGTTTCGGTGTATGCGACGGTGACATCTGATAGGTGAGAGTAGGTGCTTTTGATAATTTCAAACGGATTGATGTATAAATTGGGATACGGTTCAATTGAATTGATGTTCAACATAATTCTGAATAAAAGACGCAATTGACCGTATAATTAGATAGTACCTGGAGACCGATTTTTTTTCGTAAATCATGTATTTTGGGAATAAAAATAATAAAAAATAAAGAAAATGATCTGTAAAAAGTATAGAAAAAAAAAGTAAAAACAATAAGTGTGTAAATGATCGTGATACGAACCGCGGCTGTCTGTTTTGGGGCCGCCCGATTACCTAGCTATTGTAACATTTTTTTTGCGGCGAAATTTACTGTCATATTCGAATGATATTTTTCATTCCTTGAAAACAGGGATAAAAGGACATTTTCTAAAAATGAAACCTAGCTAAATTGATTTTTGTCCCCGAATCTACGCACATACTAAATTTCATGAAAATCGCTGGAGCCGTTTCTGAGATTCCGATTATATATATACAAGAATTGCTCGTTTAAAGGATAACATTCAAGGTGTCTAGATATGATATTCTAGGTATAAATGTCAATGTAGAACAGAAAATCCATCGTCTATATTATCCAGAGCTTTAAAAAAAAACCATACAAAAAAAATGATTCCCTCCTGGCTTCGTACGGTTAAACAATTAAGCTACGTTACATTTTTTATTATTTGAAAACATGTGTATCAATAATTATAACAGTCAATTTGCCGAGACACAATCATGATTACGTAGCGACTTTAAGGCAAGATTGAATAGGCTTCTACTGAGTTAGAGCTCCGTAGAGCTACCATATATGTGCGAAGACATCACCACTTACCATCAGTTAGGAGAACAGCCAGAAACTGAACAACCCCTTATAAAGAAACCATCAGCTTTTTCAACACTTTTCGGACTCTACTTACAAATGTAATTAAAACATGCATGTTATAATATTACATTATTTATTTAAAGTTTAGGCAACGCCACTCAAAGATTATGTTATCATTTTATCAGTAAAAGTAATCATAAAAGGTTTAGTTGTTTCGGTTATTATAAACTAGCTTTAAGCCCGCGGCTTCGATCGCGTTGTAGCTCTTAAATAAATATCTTTCAACACTTTTTCCAATTAAAAATAGCCTTTAGTCCTTTCTCAGGCTCTAGACTATCTGTGTACCAAATTTTACATAAATTGGTTCATTAGTTTTGGAGTGAAAGCGAGACAGACAGACAGAGTTATTTTTGCATTTATAATATTAGTATGGATTACATAATCATGCTACTTTAAATTTAATAGTAGTACACTCATAACGGCTACACAAGTCATTCAAATAGTCGAAAAAGAACTATAAACTAGCTGGAATAATATTTATTTTAGTCAATTATTATTTATAGTTTAACAATGGTTAACTATTTAAAAAAAAAAACAATAGCTCTACAAAGAATTAAATACGGGAAAATGACAGCAATATTAACATCGTGGTAATATTCTTATTTGTAGCATATAACACTTCTATTATATACGAGTACATAAAATATGTAGCAACCTATTAATTTAGATGGAGTATTAGAACTACATCTATGCCTATACCATGGATTTACTTACACAATGCTAGGCAATACAGGATAGAGAGCGACGAGTATTTAATTAGATTCGTTGCTCGAGGCGATTTGGACAGCGTCACACCTAACGCATAGTATAAGATATGTAGGGGATATGAAGTTCGGTTGTGTCCACGCCACAGGGTGTGTCTATATTATTTATTTAGTTACACGACTAATACAAGTAATTCGTCAATTTCAATTGTATCTGAAATAAAATAAGGTTTCTAGCATAAGGAAATTACGCTACGATGGGTCTACACAAGAGCTACGAAATTTTAAGAATATCTTTTTAGATCGTAATTTTCGTAACTTTTAAGTTACACTCTACTCCTACAATTATACAAATCAACGGCTTATTATTCGTACT